TGTGTGTGTGTGTTCACTGCTGTGTGTGTGCACTTTGGATGGGATAAATGCAGAGCACTAATTCCGAGTATGAGACCCCAAGTCACTTCACTCTAAATCTCCACTTCAACTTCGCTTTTATAAATTCAGTGTGATGAAAAATTATATTCAAAATCCCCAGTGTAAAAAACCTTTAACTCCAAGATGTCAACAAAATGTAAAGTGTTCACACTTCTGTTCTGGAAATGTAAGCAAATTAGTGCATTTTTAATTAGATAATGCCTCGATTGCAAATCAATTCCAAAAACTTGTATTACATAAGAATTGAATTAATGTACTGCGAATATTCCACTGTAGAAGTATGGTGATATATACTACTAACAATTTTTACCATATTCACCTGTAGTGTTTTGCCTTAAAAGCTATGACCCTAAAGCTGACATTTATGAGCTTTAATGAATAAGACTACAAAATAAACATGGCATCTGCAAAGACAACTTAGACTAAGACAACAAAGACAACTGACTAAACCTAGTGCTGTTTATCACCTTTTTGGTGAAGACATTTTTGTTCTCCTGGACGTGTTTGTACCACACAGACTTCAGAACAGAAGCGAAAGGTGTCACACCAATACCAGCACCGACCAGCATCACAACTTCATAACGAAAGACATCCTCACTGGCCGTCCCAAATGGCCCATCCACAGCCACCCTACACAGAGAAAAACAGACATTATGCACAGCAAACTAGCAAACTGTACATCCTTTGCAGGACGTTCCAAAGGAATAACTGAGCATTGTGTTGTTCACTTATCATGTTAGTATTTGTATTCTTTCAGTTCTCTACTGCAGGAGGAAGAAATTAGGAAACACATAAGGAGAAATAGCAAGAAAAATTCACTCATGTTGAAATCAACACATTGCTACCATCTTCTCAGACAGAAACCCGGTCTCTCCACACTTCTCTTTTTCTCAACTATGATTGTACACTCACATCCCTTTTTTACACATGTATTTTCCCATTTTACAAGTGAGACTCGCAAGTACTATTAAAAGCACCACATCTGTGTTATTCAAGAAACGAACCTGACATTAAAAAATACAGTTCTTTTTATCATCATTAATTCACCCTTATGTGATTCTCCTGAAGATAGATGATGATGTTTTAAAGAAAATTCTTGTCCATACAATGAAAGTCAATGGGGTCCAAAACAACATTGAAATTCATACAGGTTTGGAACAACATGAAGGTGAGTAAATGCTGACAGAATGTTCATTTTTGGATGAACTATTCCTTTAAATTACTCATCTGTCACTTTAATCTTACTTTGGTAGTGTCCAAGCATCCATCACCACGGTTTTGTCACCTCCACAGGCCGTATAAAGGGCTTGTGTCCAATCTCCAACAATTCGGATATGCACGCTTAAGTGGTCTTCCTCCGGGGCAGAGGTCAAGGTAAAGGGATGCCACTCTAGCTGAGAGATGGACGGGCACTGGATGAAAACATACTGACCGACCTCCATCTTAAAGCCCTTCTTCTTCATCTGCAGCTCAAGGGTCTTAGATGGGTGCATCACTACCTGTAAAGTGACGTAATACAGTAAGAGAGGAAGAAATCCATTGGTTGCTAATCAAATTTTGACTGACTAACCTTGGTGATAACCACTTTCTGCTGTGAGCGATAGAAGCGCACCAGTCTCTCACATACATATAGAATCATGGGTCCAACCACCCACTTCCATGTCTGTAAGAGAAAGTTTTTGAGATGCATCAAAATGATTAAAGAAATGCTAGATGTATTTGTCATTATATTAGGATATACCATCGGAGGATTCCCAGCAAAGACAGGTTCTGGGCAGTTGGTGCCATTTTTACCCCACGTCTCGAACTGGCTGTGACATTCATCTGGGTTGTGCACTTTTACACTTTCTAGAGTCTGGCCTCGCACAATACGCCTACACAGAAACACACACACTGGTATTGCATAAATAATGCATGATAATTCTCTTGCTAGCATTATGTGTCTGTCAACGTGTATTATGACTGAGATATGTCATGATGCTTCAATAAAGGCTGCTAGAAAACCTGCCTTTTAATAGCTTAAAACTGTACGTCTATCTATGAGTTCACTGGCATGAATGAGCAGATATGGGTGTTTTCAAATCATCCCTTCTTAGCATTGAGGAGAAGGCACGCAAGAGGGATTGTGGAATTGACAGTGGAGTTGTGCAAGCGGAGAGCGCAAAAAAGTTGAGAATTGCCCAACTTTATACAGTACAAACAATACAAAGAAAAAGCATAGCATCTAATCTCTGTGAGTGACACCTGTCAAAAACATTCCAAAATCTGGCGGATTCAGTGATTAAATCTAATCCAGCCCACGAGTAAAATTACTATTTTTTAATTCAGATGCAGTTTGCATGCTTTCATTCTGGCACAACACAAATGTGTATCAAGTTGATAATGTACGTACACTACTGTTCAAAAGTTTGGTTTCACGTGATCCTTCAGAAATCACTTAATATGCTAATTTGATGCTC